AGCAGCAGCAGCAACAGCAGCAAGTGCGTGTGTGCATCTGCTGCGGTGTCTCCTGGTGCTGCAGGTACAGCTCAGCTGCATGCGTTGATGTCATCCCGCCCCTGCCTCTGCTGCGGGTGTCTCTGGAGACAGCAGCGCCTGTCTCCTGTTCTATGATGGATTGGCTGCTGCCATCTGCAAACACTGCTGCTGCTGCTGATGCTGCTGCTGCTGGGGACCCCCCTGAGGCCTTGGCTTGCTCCCGCGAGGAGACAGAGCAGGAGACAGATGAGGAGACAGATGCAGAGGCTGCTGCACAACTTGCTGCTTCTCTCCCCGCAGACAGATTCGCAGAGAACCAACACAGCTTCGAGGCAGTGAGGGCCTGCTGCTGCTGCTGCTGCTGCTGTTGGTGTTGCTGCTGCTGTTCGTGTCGCTGCTGCTGCTCATGCAGCCGCTATTCGTGGAGCTGCTACTGTTGATGCTGCGGCTGCTGTTGATGGTGCTGCTGCACTTGCAGCTGCTGCTTCTGCTGTTCATGCTGCTGCTGCTGGCGCTGCACTAGCTGCTGCTGCTGCTGCAGGACTAGCTGCTGCTGTTACTGCTGCTGCAGGACTTGCTGCTGCTGCTGCTGCTGTATATTGTTGTGTGATGGGCTGTTGTGTGTTTGATATTCGCCTGTTGTTGTCTCCTTTTTAGTGTTTGTTTGTTTGTTTGTTTATTTCCATCTGTCTCCGTTGATGTGTCTCCTTTTTGTCTTGTGTCTGTGCTGCATCTGTCTGCTGCAGCAGCAGCCCGCTGCTGCAGTTGCTGCAGCAGATCCTAGACGGTCTCCTGTATGGGAGGGGCAGCAGCGGCAGCTGTCTATACACCTGGAGAATGCAAGTCGTCTCCCTGCTGCAGCCTTTAAGTTTAATATTCTTTGTGAAGACAACTCAGCAGCAGCAAACCCTCAGCAGCAAGCAGAGCTGCAGCGCATCTTCCAGGTAAAGAAACCCTAAACCCTAAACCCTAAACCCTCACACTGTTGTCTCCTTCTGTCTCCTCCAGAACACCCACACCTCTTCGCTCGCCGTCACATATGCGCCTTCGGGCTTGCATGCAGGATAGGGTTTAGGGTTTAGGGTTTAGGGTTTAGAGCTGCAGCAGCAGCACCAACATCATCACCAGCAGCAGCACCAGCAGCAGCGCTAGCAGCAGCACCAGCAGCAGCAGCGCAAGAGACAGAGGGGCTGCAAGATAGACAGACAAACAGCTAGCAAGGTGACAAAGAGATGTGGAGACAGCTCGAGATGAACGGAGACACCTGCTGCATTTTGTTTGTCTTGGGGTACACCGGGGAGTCTTTGCTCTGCTAAAATATATATATAATATATATAATATATATATATATATATATATTGTCTCTTATGTTTTCTTCTTTGTCTCTCTAGTGCTGCTGCATGCGTTTGTTAGCAGCGGCTGAGTATACAGCAGCAGAGCGGAGCTGTCTCTGTCTCCTCTTCTAAGTTGTGTATATTATAGACGCTTCGCTGCATGCAGGTCTTATGGAGACAGGAGACATCAGCAGAGGGGGGAGACACCGCAGCTGTCTCCGCTTCTCCTCTGCTGCAGAGAGGAGACAGAAGCAACAAGACAAACCAAGAGACCCCGTCAAAGGGGCCCCCAGAGGGGCCCCCAGGGGGGCCCCCAGAGGACAGCAGAGGGGAGGGCCCTGTTATTATGCCTGGGCAGAAGATTGTGGTGCCGCTGCGGTGTATAGCCAGCGCGAAGTATCATTCATGCGTCTTAGAGTAAGCACTTGCATCTGTCTTCGTCTTTTCTTTTGTTTTTAGTTTGTCTCCTCCTTATCTTATCCTCTTTAATTGTCTCTCTATTGAGGCCCTACTGCTTTTCTTTGTCTCTCGCATGTTCTGTCTTGGCCTAGGGTTTAGGGTTTAGGGTTTAGGGTTCGGGGGTCGTTGGGAGTGTACTTCCGGATGCGGTGTAGGGTTTAGGGTTTAGGGTTTAGGGTTTAGCATGCATTTGGGGCTGCGCTTTGTTTGCATGCAACTCGAAGTTGCCGCATACTTCAATACGATTTTGCATGCATAATATATATATATATATACATATATATATACATACATGTATATATATGTATATATATGTTGCATGCATGTCTCTCTGGCTGTTTGTTTGCATGCATGGATGCACGAATATGTCTTTAATATTTCTTTTTGTGTTTGTGCGTTTGTTTGCATGCATGCATGCATGCATGCATGCAGGGTCTCTTATTCATTATCAGGTGTCTGTCCCTTCCGACGCGTTGTTCGCTTGCCTGTCTCTTTGCAAGTTCAAAGTAGTCTTCAGCTTCGAGCTCAGGGTTTATCTTTCTTTCCTTTCTCTCGTATAAACCCTCAAGCTATTTTAAAAACCCTATTTATATCAGGGTTATGTGCAGAGGGTTTAGCAGCAGAGTTAGGCTTTGGTGGAGGTGGGGCCCCCAGATGGGGGCCCCAAGGGGGCCCCACAACAGGGG